TTATACCTATTTAGCTTTTGAAATGGATATATGCAGGATATTCCTTACAAATAAGTAATCAACGTAAGCGTAGGAAGCAACGTTGCGTCTTTGATAGCTCATTCCTTATGGCAAAGCCTGAGAGATGCAGATTTCATTATTCAAACTATCTTTCATGTTCCGACGAAGTATGACATTCGAAAAAATGTTTGTTTTTTTATCAATTCATTCAATGCTTCTATGTGTAAAATAGCGTGCGATGAACTCGCGACGAAGAGATGAAGCACGGTTTTGCAGGACTAAATCGCAGCGTTTTAGACCTTCGGACGGTCAATCGCGCGTTAAACGCTATTACCATTATTATATGCTTGAAAGCATTAATAATATACATTTATTTATAACATCGACTGTGGAGACCGTCATTATTTTTTGTGTCACTAGACAAGGCCTTTAAATTAACAAAACTTGACAGCCCGTCATTGAGGACTTTCGAAGTTGTCGCTACCTCTCTTTCTATTATGATTTTAGCCAGATCCCTACATATTCAATCCATAGTTACTTTCGTAATAGTGACGAAATAAGACAATAACACACATCGATCCGACAACAGAAGTTTTGATACAGCAGAGCGTATGATTAGGTCGTTCGACGCATTTATTACTTCCATCGTACAATTACCCCAAAAAAATAATCAGAGCGCTGGAAACTGTCGACCAAAGCATAGCAGTCCTTGGTGATTTAAGCATTGCGTGGAAGCTTGATATATGAAAATGTAATGGTGGATGTGAAGAGTTTTACGTCCGCTAGTATTGCAAAGCACCGCGTAAGAAATGAACTATGTTTACGCCCGGATACGAGCCTAGACCCCACGAAGCCCACAAGTTTAGTAGACAGATACGTTGTTACAACGCCATAATCGTGCGTCCCCTTTCTGGCTTATTTGAGATAGCCATAAAAGATACACGGGTTTATGATTGACAGTTGGTGACAAACGAAAGTATTAGATTAGGTCGTAGGTAATTTCCGTTTATTTCCTTTCCTTTTAACTTTTCAGTTATCCATTTACCTTTATGTATTTTTCAAAAATGCTCTTCGATCTCTATAATTGTGCTGCCATGTCAGTGGGTAGCGTACGTAATTTACAACTTGATGAAGGCTCCCAGTAAAAAAAAATGCATTTTCGCCTTTTGCCGAGAATAAACAACTGCCAACAAGCAGCACAGGGTACTTGAGACGACTACTTGAAACTGGTCGTCGTTGAAGTTCAATAAAAGCATCTTAGAACTGAAGGGTACACTTCGACTTGGTCCACTGCTCAGTAGACATCACAGAGAGACACGGTTTCCCATTGCCTCTCAAGATGTCGTCCGGAAACAGGCAACGTGCAGTCACAACGACAAGTTTCTACACAGAATTGTCACCGGCGACGAGGAGTGGTGTCGTCAGACCAATATATAGCAGCAAAAAAACTGGATAGCTGCGAAAGATACAGCTAAATCTAGAGTTAAGCCAAATGCCCCTCCTGAAAAATGTATTACTTGTTCGCATTGAGAAGGACAAGGCTGTGAGCAGGGACCCATGTATGGCTCAGTCGAATTAAGTGAACGTAGTTATCTATCAGGGTAAGCTAGATGGACACAGCAAAGTGGTCCTTCTACACGACAATGCCAGGCCGCATATGGCAGGCATGATAGAAGCCGTCCTGCATCCACCATATTTTTTCAGGCCCTGCTGCACAGATTATCACCTTCTCCGATCCCTTGCAAACAAGATCAGTAGCCATATATTTGATAGTGAAGAGTCCCTCGAAATCATGCTGAATGAGTTTTTCTACGTCAGACGTGAAAATTTCTGGTGACAGATGGAAAAATAGTAGAGGGTGACGGCAAATACAAAACAAATTAAGTGGTTGCCACAATTCGGGTACAATGTTATGTTTTTTTTATTCGGGTACAATGTTATGCGCACTGTTACGGCGCAGTCTATGTGATAGCTTAGAGGGTAACGTATTTGCCTGATAACATTAGGGACACGCTGTGGCCTAGGTTCGAACCCGGACATAGACAGACAGATCTCTGCTGGGAGACGGCCAGCCGTCTTATGGTATGCTTAACGGCGATATCGGACGTAAAATTCGAAAGGGTAGAGAAGCGATAGCAGCAGAAGCAGCAGTAGTTACAACTCAATGAAACGACTATAACAAAGCAATACAAAAAAAAACTACATTTTCTATCCAAATATGTCCTCGATTATTACTCAGATAAATATTGTTTAGGTGGTTGGTTTGTACGTATTTTAAATTCTCCCATTTGATGGATCCTTAGTTGTTTATATTTTATTCTGCCGACAGAGCAAGCTGGCTGTATTCGACTCACATAACTCCAATTGTATCTGGAATGAACAAAGCTTGTGATAATTGTACAGTGATAAGGACGATGCATGTATTGTAGTAGAAGTATGCACTATTGACATCTAGCTGTTTGCCTTTCTTGTATGAGTTTCTTTTAAATAAATTTATTATTCAGCTTTTCTTATTGTGTGAACACGTCCTCAGGATCACCTTTTCAATACAGCATCAAGGACTTTTCCCATTAGAAAGTCAAGATGGAGCGGGTCTGTTTTGACTTTCTCCAAGCTATATATGAAACAACGCAGCAGTTGTATTCTATAGTAGTAGTAATTTGCCATTATCGAAATTTCGTTTCGAAATTTCGGAGTTGTCGTCACCCAAGTTGTTACGTCCGTGCCTGCACATACACGTACAAGTTTCTCTGGCTACACGCGGCCAAGACGTCAATGGCTATTTACGCATCCGTATGCAAAAATATTGCAGTTCTTGTGGTTTGGTTAAATGGAACATTATTCGGCCGTGTTATACTGTGATTTAGGTCAACACTTTGGCCTTTGCGATTACTATTAAGAAAATAATTCTACATAGAGACGCGCATAATAGACGCACAGTTGATGCATGACCGATAAGTGTGGCAAGCGGCATTGTTTATATTAATTCCAGTTGACTGTTTTTTTGTCATCAATATATGGCAAGTTATCTTAGTATATAAGACTGAGTGCAAGATAAGTTTGCCTTATCGCTCAGGCAGCCTGAAGACAAAGCGTTATAAGATGAACGCCTTTTTCCTTACTGCAAGTGAAAGACTATGTAAGGTCAAGCATGTATAGCCATGCATAGTAGCATATTTACCTACCCAATGCTTGATAATCTATTTATAAAAATATGTGCGACGAGGTTACTGCGTATAGTGTTAATCTACGCCATACTATATTTTGACACGCCCTCGTGTGGTTTACATGCTGGTATTTGATGCTGTTTAAGCTATAAAAAGGGCTTATCGTTTACTTATGAGGAACTTACTTTGATCACGAAAAGTACATTATCAAGGTTAAAAATATGCACCTGACAGCTGCTACATTTAGCTCTCAATATTGACATTTTCGAGGCTGACCAATAGAACACCTATCTTAATATCTGTGAACGTTCTGGCCGAAAATTACGTTTTTTTCTTCCTGCACGTAACCGTATTGCAAGTATGATTCCTGTTTTCATACTGCCGTTTCTGTTTAATCAATTCGATGATCCTGCACGAGGCTGATCGATTACCGGCACTGTATCACATGGCCCAAAGCGAAAGAGGAGGACGGAAGTGCGAAGGATGAGAAATGGAACGCAATGGAATCCACGTCGGATAAACATTCTGTTCCATCATTCACGGTTGCGGACGCGTCGTCGTTATGGAAGAAAATCAGTTGAACTGCTATATCGTTGCCATGGCTTGTCATCGTTATTCCACCGCAGACCCTATATCTCGAGGGTACGGGAGTTCACTCCCACAAACACGAAACGCTTCATAAACAAGAATAATATATCGAAACTGAACTCATGATTGTGTCTCTTGGCCTGATGGTTGGCCGTGCCGTAGCGCAAATATGATTCGGATTTTTCCACTAGCTTGAATTAAATCTGTAATGTTTACTTTTCTATTGTTGCATTGAAAATTGCATCGCTGGCCTCGTTAGCACCATTTAGAGTTAATCGAGTCGTAATTTCCGACTCCTTTTTCAACGGTAACTGTAAACGAGATTTAATTAAACTATAATTGGGGTAACAACGCAGGAGCATCAACTCCTAAATGCGACGTTTGATAAAGCTTAGTAATTTTGAGTTTCTTTCGTCCACTTGCTACTACATCGTTAATTAGGCCATTTGCTTACGTTTAGTTGAGACCTCGGTACGTCTGAGAAAAGATCTATACGGCGATAGGCATAGTTTAATTCATGTTGGATCCGAGCATACGTCAAGCAACTAATCCCAATTGTGAAACGTACCTGATGAGTTGGCGTCACAGTGAACCGTTGATGCGATATTTTTGGTTCAAGAGAAAATATACGAAGGCTCAGAAACATGTCTGAGAAATTCCCTCTCTCGAAAACTAGGGAGCATATGAATAAAAGCATAGAGCTTTCGGCGTACCTCAAAGAGATCACTAACCTCGTCAAAAGAAAACCCTTTGTTGATGAGCTTAACCAAACAAGTCTCTCATCAAGATTGATTAAATTGCTTAATATGTTTATTGTGAGATTTTAAAAAGCCTACATCTCCCTTTCGAAATGTTCATAGAGAGGCTCATTGTAGCATTTAGCTCTAGTTAATTCGTTCTCGAAGTCACAGATGGCTTTCACAAATTACTCTTATGAGGGTAAGGTCATTGGTAAAACGAACGGAATGACAAACACTTTCATGGGATCCGACGTATAAGAGACAAACACGAATGGGCCTAGGACAATATCTGGTGCAATACCGGACGTTACTAAATGATTATTCAAAGGCGTATTACCAATGTACAACGTTACGAGGTGACCACTTGTATAAGACTTACGAAAGACAGGACAAGCGTCATAATGAAAAAATAATTTTTAAAGAAACCTCGCGCGACATTGCGTCAGATGCCTTCACAACATCAATTTAGGCTACAAGAAAGCCATTTTCTCCATTGCAGGAGCGGGTGATATACTAATAGATATCAAAGAAACTCAGATTACGAAGAAAATCATAATGAGAGTCTAAAGAAAGAATGAAAGGTGAGTGTTAAAGTTGACAGATTTTCAAAAAAATGTTCGCACATAATTAAGCCATAGTTAGGAATTTACAGTTTGTTGTACTATCACGGCTACCCAAAACTATGAAACGGCTTTGGGGAAATGTAGACGACATTAGAAAAACGCAGGTCTAAAGAGGTAGATTACGTGTATGTGCCGGCCGATGGGCAAGTGCAATAAAATTTTAAATGGACTAGTTTCAAATCAGATGGCTGAATTCGATTTGATAAAGGTGCCAAGTGTCATAACTCGTTCTTCGGCAGTGGCTGAGAAATTAGGCGGAAGGCAAAAAGGAAGGGGCGTCAAGGCGTGCGGTAGTAATGAGCCAGCGGAATCAAACACATTTCTGCGAGTACAGAACTAAATAATTAAGTTACTTTATTTATAAGACGCCCTAATAGACCAGTATTCCTATAAGGCATTATAGCCTCTCGGCGCTCTCATGTAATATGTAACCAATTGTTTGTTATGATTGAGAACGTATGTCCTTCTTAGTCTACCAATATGCCTGGAACGACTGTGTAGTATTTAGGGTAGCTTGAGGTACAGGTGCAGATGTGATTTGTATAACTTTTAGATTCTTCCGCGTCATTCGATAAACTACTGGTAATAAACTTTGGAAAGGACAAATGATAAGTAAAGATTTCTCATCTGTAATTAGCAAAGTTTATATTTGTGTCTCCAGGAACAGTCATGGGCATACCTTCGATCTAATTAAATTATCGAGCACTTCGTTGAAGTAAATTATGACAACAATGCACTTACTGGACCGCCGCATCAAGCACACTTGAATATATTTACGATACCATCGCCTGATTCATTCAACGTCATCAGCAGATCTCATCTTAAAGGTTTCGTGAATACGCAATGGAACGCCGCGACGGTAGCACACGCAGCGAGTTATTGTATAATCTCAATATTCTGTAGAGGTCTCCAAATGGACGCAACGTCTGTTATACATACTCGCAACAACTGAACCACTTGTCACGGATATCCAATACGAGCTACGACAATACAGGTTCGTTTGGTGGGAAAGAAACGAAATCGACATTCAAATGCAGATGAAGGTCACTTGCTTAGGGCGGGGTGGCGAACCCTTTGTTTAAATGGCACTAGATATTGCCGTTTTCAGTATCCACTGCTTAGTATCCGATCAGAGGCGAGTCATTATTTCACTCGTTTGTGTAACCATGTTTCAGCTTCAGCCCTGACCAGTTTACATTGTTGCCGTAGTCGCTTTTATTATTATTATGTGTCGTCTCATCTTCTTTCCCTGTGTAATCAGTCAGACATCACCGGGTTTTATAGCTTCATTAGCATCATGATGATCGCTATACTAATGCTGAATCAATTTTGTTGCCTTCAGATAATATCGTAGTGAATAGCTTGAAACGTTGCAGTTTCTCTAGTGATGATCCAAACTGAATTTTAAGCGTGGACAAAAGTAATAGCAGCTGTCAGTATCCGAAGGATCTGGAGCGAAAACAAAAGATGCATGTACGGGACCGCACTAAACGTACCCATAACCTTCTTTTTTAGCTGGAACTATATTTCAATGGAAGACTTTAGCTGCCGATACCAACCTGAAGCCAATTTCTTTGTTGTGTATCGAGCTTAGCTACAACGACAGGTCACTGGGACGATGTTACGCCATTTTGTGGACTATTTGCCCCTTTATCACTCTCTTTAGCATCATAAGACACAAATAAATTATTACAGAGACAAAGAGTTTATTGTCTATATGGTTTATTAACGCGCCAGCGTGTTGTGCACTAGTTAAAAAAGTGTGTCTAACTCTCGAAATAGGAATCCATAAATTTTTATTTTAGAGCTTGACATCTTTTAATGAATACTAGCAGTGTATCTAAACCTAGGTAAATCAACAACGCTGTGTTACTTTAAATTGTAATTGGAATCAAAATAACGATGTCTGCGTCGCTATTGCCCTTTGTACGACTAATTCTGCCCTGGAGTCTACCTGTTTTACCTGATTGCCTACAATCTACCTACAGTGTGCGCTTGCTAACTGTATCGTAGTTGCATAATGAGACTGGTACCTGCATCACTAGGTGAACGTTATGCTGCCTTGTCTGTAATAGCGTATAATTGTAAAGAACAGCCTCATTTCTCGTAATACTTTCGTCGGTATTTATCACACCGGTTACGCATGAGTCTAATTGGAAGGTGTCACTGAGAGACCTAACTTATTCAGCTAAGTTTCGTGGACAGAGACTAGGACTGCCGTCGCGAAGTTAGTAGGCACGTAGCAGCTTGATGATGGGCATATCTTTTTACAGCAGCTATATATATACACTCAGAATATATATATATGAGTTGCTCATAGTAACCATAGCAGCATATATAACTTAGTTAGAAATCACACAGGGCGCCATTTGGCATCGAATAACAGCCGGATGTGGTCGTGGTTGGCAATAGATTCTCGTGGCAGCTGAGCTACTATTAGCAGCGATCGTCAACGTAAGTGCGCTGGCAGCCAGGTCAGAAGGTGATCCTGGTGATGTGGTAGCAATGGTCGACACACAGATTTTCCGTCCAGTGTCTAGCTGGACCCTCTTTCCCTGTCCTATGTATAAGAAATGCTTGATAATTTACTGGTTTTTCTAACTTATGCTTTTTGGTGGGTAAAGATGTTTGCATTTTCTTGTATCCCGAAGATGAACAAATACACTTAACAGTAAATTTTGTCTTGACCTCTAGTCTAAACTCGCAGTCGATACGCGTCCCGTTCACTCGGCACTGCTACTTCCCACGACTGCTTGTTACACGTAGCCGCTGGTGACAAGATGAATCAACCGGCAGCCTACCTGCTTGTACACGCCGTATTATATTATATATGGCTCATTCGACGCCAACGAGTTATTGCGTATCTGGTGTGGGTGAGAACATGGCTTGTAGCCTGGTGAAACAGGCGACACCTAGACTTCATCGGCCGATTTGTCAATTTAGATCAAAGCTTCTGTCCAGGTTGTTTTCGGGTTTGAGTCTCTGCTCTATTCCTGCGTATTTCTGCGTGTCTGTCAATAGCAGAGTGCGGTTTCGGTACGGAGTCACTACGTATGGTCTGTTGTAGTGTTCCGACTGACTGGCCTCTGGCTTCTTCTGCTCCCCCGCAAAGAAAGAAACAGCGGGGTACAAAAATACGGTATTGAAGCAAACCATATAGAGTTTTTTCCGCTGACATTTCCGCCAGCTCATGGTTGATTATTCAGTCCGAAGTGCAGAACGGTCGACGGGACAACGCCACCATTACAAGCAAGATCAGTGCAGAGTAAAGCAGGCCGGGGGTCGCTAGCTTTCATTTTGCCTTTCAGCAAAAGAGCAAACAAGCAGCTCTCTGTTTCCTTCAAGCCCTTTCCCTCAACACTCGTAGTCTATATCACCAACTACGCATTTCGACGCCTATTTCAAGATGATTTCTCCGATTCCATCTCGCCTTTGTCCCCTCATCTTCCCTTCTCCTGCCGCCGTTGCCCGGAGAACAGATTGGAGACGCAAGACTGCAGATGCTGGGCCTATGGTCTGAAATTGCAGTAGGGCCACGTTGATGAAACAGTCAGCTAGGCAGGCATTGACATTTTGATGGTGATAAGGATGAGACGTTGCACCGGGAGCCGGTTTGTCGCCACCCGAAACAAACATCTAGGACCATAAGAATGAGAGCGCTATTGTGGAAAGTGCAGCAGCTAAAAAATGAAACAGAGGATGGCTGGTGATGTACGAGAAAGAGTATGTTGGTTTCTCCCTTCTCATTCTATCGCATTGAAATTGTATCGTTAGCTTCAGGGAAAGCACACTCTAGCCACGATAGTCAAAATTTCACGTAAACTGATGGCCACACATGGCATATCTAAAAAGGCTCTGTGTCTGACATTTACTCTGGTGAATACAATACGAGTGAGAAAGTACTGATATTGGAGCAATGTTGGAGCCGGGTTAAAGTGTCTAAAAGCGTTTTATGATAAAAAAAAAAAAAATCGCCTCCTACTATTCGGACGGAACAAAGAAAGATTCCGTATTTCATTACAGCGCCACTAACAGCGCGTAACGTAAAAAAAGCAAACCGAGTTCCTTCTTTTTGATGCAAATCTATGTTATATTCGTGTATGCGTGTCCTACATTCTATTCATACATAGTATCCAGATAACATCTGGACCGTCCTGGTTTCAGTTCTTCGCATCCATCAAAACGTAATAACGAATGGCATCAATAGCCTTGCTTGCTGCTTCCACTTCCCGTGAATAGTTAACGAGGGTAGACCGCAAATTTGTCTCGATCGTCTGCTAATCACATAATAATAATAATAAAAGCAAGAACCATTACCACCTGCCTCATGTGGTACTCTCATATTATTCGCATTGCTACGCTTTACCAACACAAATATTAAAAGAGGTCTTCGTCCCGGTACTAGGACTAGGAAATAAGACATCGTAAAGGAACGACTCTGATGATGAGACTCCGGACCGCAATTAACTGGCCGTATCCAGTCAAGTTGAGGAACTGAAATTCGTTTAGATATAGAATAAAGTTAAAGTTAATATTAGAATATGGTACAGCCGTAATAATGAAATGTAAAAGTGGACGCCATTGATTCATAAGCTGTATAATAATATTATTTTGTGTTCCCGTCAAGTGATTATCTCCTTGTTAAGTTATTATCTCAGTACATATATTAGTTTTCCGTATATGCATGCATATTAGCAATATGCTAGGGTATATCTTCTAGTTTCTATGTTCTAGGAACATCGTGGGCTTTACGCTAATGGAGGCAGACGAAGACACACAAACATGAAGAGTAAGCTTTACAGATCCTACTTCGTGTAATAGAAATTGCCAATAATAATAACTGGACGATGGATATGAATTGAGCTACATATGTACACAATATTCTGTGTACTAACATGAACCACAAACAACCCAATCGCAATGCCAACTGGCAATTTCAATTTTTGTTAATAACTCTTCCGTAGGAGCCTAATGCAATATATTTGAAACGCACGCCCTTCATATATCTTAGCGTAGGTACGTCACTATGTGTAGGGGAATTTCGTGTCCTGCTCACTCATGCGGACTCTTGATGCGCTACTGAATCAATATCAATCGACTATAGACCGCTTACTTGAAGTGCACAATTGGCCTTAAAAGCTGCATAGCTATAGTCCGCATTAGCGGCGAACATCATAAATGCTAAATATCACGCAAGGGCTTCTAGCTGTTAAATAGAAGTAGTAACGAAGATACAGTTTACAAATAACGTCACATCTCCTATTTATTAAAACGCGGAAGAAACACAGTATAACAGAAAAAAAAAATGATAACTATAATACTAATAGTAATGAGAACAAACTCTGTTGACAAACGTTTTTTGATCGACATACCCAGGTACTGAAAAAAACATGCACCCTGGACCCTCTCATGCACGTTTCGTTGTTTATGCGCTAACCTATAGCATTTAATGATGCTCTTGGAAAGGAACTAGCAAAAGAATGGCTCCTATTCCTAGGTCTACGTCTTCTATCTTAGCGTAATGCATTGTGCAGGTACTAACGAACAAGCCAATGAACGTTCACTACGTCTGCATGCTGTCACAAACTGGTGTTGATGTTTCTAATCAAGAGCTAACGGGTAGCTACCGTTAGTGGCTGTTTCTTGTAGTCGGCAGAACCAGCGTCGTACACGCACAGAGGTATTGGTCTTTGGCGGGCCTGGTACGGCGCCGTTGGCGTATTCTTTCTGCGAATGTCATGCGGACACACGAGCAGATAACTGACATGAGTAGTTGCCACTGCGGCAGTGATAGCTAGCTGGTCGCCTCAATCGCTGCCAGAAAACGGGGTGGGGCGGGGGGGGGGGGGTGAAAGTTAGCCTGGGGAATAATTCGGTTCGAATGGATCAATTCAGTACCGTTTATCTTGTTACGATATTCAGAAAATATTCTCCTCACTTGTTTATTTGCTGAAGTATGGTGCGCATTTATAAAATCGTGCTGAAGAAATTTAAGATGAAATCGTGGCAGAAGCTATTCAGAGAGGAATAGGCTAGGAAAGATCATATTGTTCTATACGAAACCTTCTCAAGAGCACCCTTCACTCTCCTTATTAAACTCCGTTTTTATATTGCTCGTGCCTTATTGCTTAGACGTTTTCTAAAGTTTCGAAGCAGTTTCAAAACTTATTCCTAACAGCATTGTGTGCCAGTAAGCGGCGATTTTTCTTGAAATATTTCATGAAAACAGCAGGCAGTCTTGCCGTACTTTTGCGCCCTGGGTATTCATTCCTCTTTGTATTTGCTTCTTTGGCAGCTCAGCTTAGAGTAGACTGTGGCAAAGGAGCTTGGCTAAAGACAGAAAACATATTGAGCTTTGCTGTTTGCTGTACAACGATATATTAATTTGCGTTCAACGTTTATGGTTCGCGAGAACTTCCCCGGCGTATCGATATAAATTCCAAGAACAGCGGAAAATTTCCTTTTTGCTAGAGAAGTCTACTTTCTTCTTATAGAATTTTCTCTAGTGTACAAAAGTCGCTATGGCCTTTTGCATATTGATTTGCCACACCGCCGGCCCACGCTGTCGTCGCGCCTCTTTCGAACCCCTTACGCCTGAATGTATCGATGATCACGATATTTTTAACTTTCCACATCTACGCCTCACATGGCCGCATTAAAACGCGCCATTCAAAAAAATTAGGCCCAAGTTGGGAGTGAGAGAAAGACAATAGGATCATATGGAACACGTTATTTTTCGCTCTGCAACTGTGATGTAGGGTGAACGTTATTAGTCGTCAACCAGATAATAGTTACGTAATCCACCTCGTATCGATCTAATTCGTACCTGTTGCTATGTGTATGTATGTTTGATCAGATCTCTTGGGTTGACTCAATGACTGTTTCTTGCGGTGCGCTTTTTTTTTGGATAAACGTACTTATGACAGTGCCACCAGGCAGGTAGAACAATAAGCTTATAAGTATATAACGAGACCGCAAAGTAGGGTAAACCGTCTGCCACAGCGGAGGGTTCCTGTTTCCTTTTTCAAGACATGGAACGAATAGGCTTACTTTTTACTGATAAACTATGACCGTCTGTATACTAATCATAGCTGACGAGCTTGCCTCGTTGGCTTGAAATAGTAAATACTGGTAAGCCACATCTTTGAGCAATGGATTTATTAAACTGAAGATGCAGCCTCGGAGAAGGGTCGCGATTTTGTCATTGGAATTGGTTCCAGAGAAAGCAACTTGGGACAGAAAGGAACTTGCATGGGATAGTTTTATAGTTCACGCTCTCGAAAAGCACACGTATGGTTTCATCTTGATATTGCGCCGAAACAAATGTAACTCGTCTTCTTCACGATAGTTATACGATAATGTTCCACTATAAGATGGATTCTCACATATACAATCGTTTTTTTTGCCCATTAGGCAATATAAAATGGAGATGTTAGAGTTGATTCTTTCGATGAAATGGTAGGTAGAGTATAAAGAGGTCCTTGCTGACACCAGCAATCTCCAACGGGTTCCTTTAAGAATAGACAGACATAAGTATGAATGTTAGACTCACAGGGAGACACAAACTATTCAAAAATAACATTGACTATAGAAAAAGGTTTCTTTCTTTCTTTCTTTTCTATGAAAAAAAGCATATCATTTGAGGCGATCCTAACCTTAGATATAGATGGTCGGCGCACCACAAAGAACTGTTGGGCTCACTGATGACAAAGGAGCCACGGTGTCCAGTACCTATCTCGTAGTGTGCACCGCATCTACTTCTACTGTAGGCCCTTTGCGCCTCTTTTTTAACTCTATCGGCCTTGTGTGCTCCTCGGATATAGCACACGAGGCCAAGCTAAGAAGCGGCTCTGCGAACGGCGATCTCTCAAAACCTAAACGGAACAACGAGGCGACAGCACCCAGGGGGCGGAACCGGCAAGGGCAACGATGAAGGTCCGCTGATAAAGAGGAGGACCAAGGACAAAACGAGGCTCTTGAAATTGACTTTGTCAAAGGAGGTTTTTGTCCTTCCATCTCATCTGTCCCCGGTCCTACAATAACTCGTGTTTTTTTTCGCTCGCGCCTTTTCTATCATTGTGCTTTTGGTCTTCCTGAATCTTGCCTATGGTTGCTCTCTTTTTCAAACAGAATGCGTTGCACTTCGACCTTGCCGTTGTCACCCCCCCCCCCCCCCTGGCCCCAATCCAACCCGGAAAGAAATTGGGAAGAAACGCCCATAAATGTCATCAGCAATAACAGCAAACGAAAGCACCATACGTTGCCTCCATAAACTTCGCGTCTACTCGAAGTCGGCCTGAACCATACTCGTTCATCCTTTCGTCAGTTGTCAAGGCCCTCTGTCGTCGAAAAGAAGAGAACGATGCTCTTTTGTTATTTGCTCTCTTGTTGACTGAACAATATATGAAAAGATTTCATTTGCCATTATTGTGGTTTGACTGAACAATAGACAAACCACAATAATGGTAAATTAAATCCTTTCCAGCCCAACTGTATGTACCATACGAAAAGGGAATGTACTCAAAATATCAACGTACATTCGTTCACTTTAAACCAAGTTTAATCTGATTAAATATATAT